TCGGACACAGATTAATTTTGCAACGTAGACGGGATTACGACAAGATTCCAGTGATCGGAAAACCCATAAGATGCATTCTTTTGGTTACAGAGCAAATGCTCTGCTTACTTTCGCCGTCACGGCGCTCGCATTCATTTGCGCAATCGCGTCTTTCTCAGACAAATTCAGCAACCAAAATCCCTCTGTTGAGATCCAGGTAATTGGAAAACGTGTCTGTAAACATGTATCGATCGCTTCTTATGCGGTGGATCTATGCATGAATGTTTTGATTTGTGACGTATTTTAGGTTCTGGAATTGTGGATGGTGAATTGAATGTCTTTTGTTTTTGATTTGGGGAATTTTAATGAAAAATGTGCTTAAGTTGTTTCTATGGATTTTTGGAATCATGATGAATTTTAATTTGGGGGTTTTGGTTGTACTGTGTTTGCAGATACTTAACATCAATCGGTTTAAGAAGCAATCTCATGGAAATGATGAGGTAATATTTCATGGTTTCGATCTTTATCTAATGTTTATGAATCGGTTCCAAGTTGCTTGCTTTCTTCACCAAGTGTAGTAATTTATATATCTCAAAGCCTTCGAATATAACTCGAATGTGATAGTAGTTCATAAGAGTATTTATACATCTGGTTTCTGAATATCATTCAGCTTATACAACATACATACATCTGTCGCTTTCGGTTTTTTTTTACCGAGTCTCTCGGTTTCCCTTTGATCTATTGCTTGCTGAGCATTTTACATGTCATGCAGGTCAGCTTGACATTGGACATAGCAGCAGACTTAGAGTCACTATTTACTTGGAACACCAAACAGGTTTAAAGATCTGAAATTTACAGTCCTTTCTGTTTTTGCTATTACCTGAACCCATTGTAAGATAGATAGTTCCTGCTGGATACTCTTTTAGTAAAAAGCCGACATAAACCGGAAATGTTTGCAGGTTTTCGTTTTCGTAGCAGCTGAGTATGAGACCCCAAAGAATTCCCTGAATCAGGTATTATAGTTCAATGCAAAGCCTCCTGCCGTGAAATTTTTCCCATTAACAAGTTCTGGATTTGACTTTAGGATCAGAGCTCTTTCAATGAATTGTGAATGGATATCGACATTCTTTTGCAGGTTTCTCTATGGGATGCTATAATCCCTGCAAAGGAACATGCCAAATTCCGAATTCAAGTCTCAAACAAGTACCGTTTTATCGATCAGGTACAGTAACAAACCCACCAAAGTCTTACTGCGTTTTTACTTCTTCAGAAGCAGAAACCGATCATCATTTGGTAACTTTCAGGGACATAATCTCCGTGGAAAAGACTTCAACTTGACATTACACTGGCATGTCATGCCCAAGACGGGAAAGATGTTTGCTGACAAAATAGTGATGTCTGGTTACAGTTTACCAGATGCATACAGATGATCAAAACTGAAGAAAACACCAAACATCGTCTAAGAGATTTTGAATTTTGTTATAATGGAGACGTTTCCTTCTTTTGTTCTGTAAACCAGAGTTAAAAGTACTATTGGTCTCTTAGACCTTTCTAATACAAAAAATGAAAATAGAACCTGAAAGTTTAGAACATTGTTTCAACAGAACTATAACCTAAACCTTTAGATATTCTTTTGCACTTCATGGATTCTCTCAATACCTTCACATCGGTCCACCGACCCGCTTTAGCATAAATGTTAGATAGAAGAACGTAGATTCCACTACCGAGTTCTTCTGATTCACTAACCACGGATATTATCCGATCAGCCAGATCAAAATTTTCATGTATCTCACAACCATTCAGCACTGCACCCCATATATTCACATTGGGTTTTATCGGCATAGTCTTTATCAATCTCTCTGCTTCTTCAAAACGACCAGCACGGCTCAATATATCAACCATACATCCATAGTGTTCAACCGTTGGTTCTATTCCATAAAGATCTCTCATTTCTGCAAAGTATCTTTGTCCATCCTCGACCAGACCTACGTGGCTGCACGAATATAATACCCCGAGATATGTGATTCCATCAGGTGTAGCATTACCTTCCTCCTGCATTCTCTGGAATATACTCAATGCTTCATTCCCGTGTCCGTGACTGGCTAATCCAATGATCACAACGGTCCAAGCTATCGTATCTTTCTTCTCCAGATCTTCAAATACCTTTTTTGCGTTCTCTACATCACCGGTTTTAGCATACATAGTCACAAGTGCACAAACTACGGCAGCATCCTTCACAAAGCCGGTTTTCGATACATAAGCATGAGTCGATTGTCCCAACTGTGAGCATCCTTGAATCATGGAAGCTCTGATGATACTCAAAAACGTTACTTTATCAGGAGCTATACCCAAAGCAAGCATGTCTGAAAACAAACGCATTGCTTCCTCTGCATCACCGTTCTGACTATACCCTGTGATAATGGAATTCCAAGAAACCAAATTTCTCTTAGGCATTCTATCGAACAGGTTCCTTGCGGTTCTCAAATCTCCACATTTCCCATACATATCAATCATACTTGTAGCCAATATCACATTAAAATCAAACTTTGACTGCAAGTACGGATCAAAGCCTAATTCTTGAAGTAACCCATGAAACCATTTCCCAGTAGTAATATCTTTACATCTACCACAAGCAACCAGAAGATCCACCATTATAGTCTCATTTGGCTTCAGACCATTACTCTGCATCTCCCTAAACACCTGAATAGCTTCACTAAACCGATTGTTATTCACAAACCCAGAAACCAAACTTCCCCAAGCAACAAGATTCCACTTTGGAATACCCTCAAAAACCCTTAAACCACAATTCACTTCTCCACAACACATATACATATGAAGCAAGCAAGTAGAAACATACATATTCACTCCAAACCCTGTTTTCACAACAAATCCATGAACACAACTCCCAAATCGAATATCCTTTAACACAGAACAAGCTTTAAACACATAAGGAAACGTGAAATAATCCGGAGAATACCCTTTTCGAAGCATTTCTTGGTAAAAGATCAATGCTTTATCTGAATTTGGACTGTTTGAGTAGCCTTTGATCATCGAGTTCCATATATACACGCTTGGATAATCGATACTTTCGAAAACTGATCTCGCGTAGCTGAGATTCATAGTCTCGGGACAAGTAGTGAAGAAATCTATGAGTCGACTTAGAGGAATGATGTTTCTGATAACTGAGGATTTGATCATCAAGCCATGGATTTGATTCAGTTCCACCATTGATCTACAATTCTCCAGTTGGGAGAGAATTGGTTTGTAATGTTTCTTCATCTGTCCTCTCTAATACAAAGTGTTGATTCAGTTTTACAAAGTTTAAATAGTTACGGGTTTATTTTTCATTTTAAAAGAGTATAAGGTTAAATTTTGCAATTTCCCCAAATAACATATAAGGGGTGTTTGGTCATAACGACGTCGTAACTGGAGCGACCTTGAGATATGTCGGCGAAGGAGATCGCCGGCGAGAGCAAATCCGTCGACGACGGTTCCGATCGAGATCCATGTCCTATTTGCCTTGGACCCATACTCCAAGAATCCTATCTTGATACATGTTTCCGTACGCT